AAAAGTGGGCAAAGCATAACGTGCACACTTACCAGCTGTGTGGATTTTAGAAAAGTGGGCAAAGCATAAAGTGCGCACACTTGAATACCATTCTAGGGTTCTCGTGGCACCCTGAAAGAGCAGCCCATAGATAGAAATAGCGTATCCCCAGACGCTATGTCTACGGCTATAATGCTGGAGTGGCTAGCAGTAAATCTGTAGCTGAGGGAACAACATCCAGCTCTCAATGGAGAGGGAGCTCAACCTACAGCATGTTCCCATGGTGGAACAGCTAGCAGTTATTCAGCTGAGGGAGCAACCAGGTCGTGGAATGAAGGTTTTGAAGGCCGCTGAGTGCACACACCTTCTAAATGCTCTGCTAGTGCTCGCCATAATAAATAGAGATAGCTCTTACTTTTTCCTTGGAAATGCACGCTTCAAACAGAACAATCAATGAAGACGAAGAAGAGAATGATGTGTAGCTCCCGGCACCTATTTATACTATAGTCGCACCGGTAGTGACGTCATGGCTGTCGCCGGCCAACGAGTTGGTGTTTTTTCAATGTATGCTTCAGACACGGGTCACGACGAGGCGTTCCCCATAGCGACCCCTAGAAGACACAGTTCGAAGTTCCCATGAAAGGGAACCAATGTTACACAGTGTCTACACTGGACGCGAGCAGTGTGGCGCGACAAAATACTATAGAACTCATTATAATCAGTGATGCTGTCTACACTGGATGCGGTGTGGCATGACACGACAAATCCCCGACAGAAAACTGCTGCTGCATTCTATTTATGACACAAATTTCAAATTATTTTCAATGGTCGCTTTGTCGCGTCCAGTGTACCAGACAGACTAGACCAGGGGTGGGCAAACTTGGCCCTTCCAGGCCACTTTCCTTCAGAGGTAAGCTCCAACCCTAATCAAACACACCTGAAACAGCTAATCATTGTCTTCAAGACTACTAGAAGGCTACAGGCTGGTGAGTCATATCAGGGTTGGATCAAATCTCTGCAGGAAAGTGGCCTGGAAGGGCCAAGTTTGCCCATCACTGGACTAGACAGACAGACAACAACTAGCTGTTGCAGCACAGACAAGGTGTTACTCACCTATCGAGAAGAAACAAAGCATCTCGGCGTCTGATTGCAGGCCTTCCACTCCTTGAGTTCTCTGCAGTGCTGGAAAGCTGATCCGATATTTACATGGGTCCTACTTCTTGCCTTATTGCCTTAAGCCTTCTTTTGTTCCACAGACGTTTTCCTCTTTTGTTTTTTTATGCGCCATCTCTATCTTTCTGTCGCTCGGCTTGGCTAATGTCCGTCCTGTACACTGAACGCTCTCTCCTACATGTCATGAGTAGACACACCCCTTACTGCTGATTGGCTACAAGTTTGTTTTGCTAGTCGGCCCAAATCAGTTTTCTAAAGTGTTTTTGAAAAATTGCTTACCCCACCTTTAATGTTCATCAAAGTATCTTGAAAAAACATGTAGCATGGTTTCCATAAATATATTAAGCAGCACAAATGTTTTTTTTTTAAATTGATAATATTAAGAAATGTTTCTTGAGCAGCAAATCAGCATATTAGAATGGTTTCTGAAGGATCATTTAAATAGAAAAACATTATTTTAAATTGTAATAATTTTTCAAAATATTGTTTTTGCTTAGCCTTGTTGAGCATAACAGACATCTTTCCAAAAAAAAAAACTCTTACCAACCTCAAATGTTAGATTGGTAGTGTACATTATATATACAGGTAAGGGAGAAATTCATGAAAATGAGATTCATATCTTAGGCTGACATTGGCAGTGGCAGTTTTGCCAGCATCTCCAGAACAAGTTTCTTTGTGCTGATATTGTGTCGTTCTGAGTGATCTTTATGCCATTTGTCTTCAAATTGTTTTATAAAGGCACTAAAATGTTGTTACAATGTGCAATCTGGTCTGTCTGGTTTGATGCTGTTTTGCTACTCTTACAAAAATCTGTCAAATCTGGTTCAGAAATATCTGCTTAGTCTTCCTCTAAATTCTTCTTCACTTGTCCTCCTCAACTCGGTACACATCAGATGGGGTCCTTGGTTTTCAGATTTAGACTACTTGGATACATCTGCAATAGGATAAAGAATCAAACAAAGGATTCAGCCCCAGTAAGTGCCACAGCAGAGCAGGTTTTTACGGTAGGAAAGTGGATTCTTGGTGCCAGAGAGAAAACAAAGTGAGTGTTGGCAGGAGAATGCAGGTGGTTGTTTGTGCGGCCGCTTTTTAGGAAAGCCT